CAATAACCATTAAAGTATACATTAAGCCAAATTTTTTTTTTAGGTTTTGCATAAAGTTGAAAAAGGATTATTATTAGCTCTGGTTCACACCAATGCAGCTTAGAAATCATGCTACTTCACACACCTTCAAAGCTTACTTTTCAATGCAACTTTATTGACTTCATTTAACAGGTATCAATGCAAGTTGCAATGAAGTTGCACAAAAATAGTGCAGGAAGCTTTTTCAAAGTCACTGCGACATTAGTCGCACCGATTTGCACAGTTCCATTGCCGCTATTGGTCTCGACAAGTCGCACTGATGTGAACCAGGACTAACTTGATTTCTTTGTTCCCACTGGGGAGATTCACCCTCTCTATTTGGCCTCTGTCATAGAAAAGGATGGGGAAATCAAACATTTTCCAGTTGGCACCAGAGGTAAGGGTGAATCTTCCAAATGGGACACGTATTCTGGCATTAGCTGTCTAAGAGGAGAGTTCCCCTCACTATAATATAAATATACTTTTAGCACAGTAGTACCTGCAGGCGACAGGGGCAGCTTATGTTTGTACAGTTGCTTTCCACACATTTTTTTTTATTCCATCATCAGTAAGTACACAGTCATCTCATATATGCTTATTTACCAATTGTCACAAGATTGTCAGACAGGTTAGACCAATAAAACAAGGAAATATTCTCAATAGAAAAAGTGATTCTAGCAGGGTGGTATTCTTTTGGTTGCCAAAGATTTTGTTTATTTGGGCTCCAGCGATGGAATCATAGTATTAGGCCTCCTTCCATTTATCTAACTTAAGGCAATAGCAGCTTTTTCAAAACTAATGAAAGAAGAGGGGGCACTGTGCACTTGACATTTTTATAGTTTTTAAAGATATGTTCTTCTTCTTCATTTACCACTTTTGGCCAATGCAAGTGTAGAAGATCATGAGCAGATCAGGAGATCAGAGTCTACTCTGTGTTCTATATTATTATTTTTATAATCACTATGTATGTCATATTAAGATACTTTGAAAAATAGCATCAGTTTCCAAATATTCCATCTCCATAAATATGTTTAGGCAATGCAAAAATAGAGAACTCAACCCCTAGGATGCATTCATAAATGGATCTATTCATGACGAAAGACTGATTGTAACATTCACATCTTGTATAAAGTACCAACTGTACCAATGACTGTTATAAAAGTAGGGATATTATAGATCATCAAATCATGGAAAATGCAGGTGCCAGGTAGGTAGAGGGTGTCCCCTCTATATATGAAGTGACTATGTTGTATTCCATTTTATTTGTTAAAACCAACCTGTGGGATCACCTTACCTGGTAGAGTGACCCAAAGACCTTAAAAAGGCACTACTAGATAGATGCCTGCAATATTCACAGATTACTTACAGAGCAACCTCAAGAACCACAAACCTATCTATCCAAATAGCAACAACAGATTGCAGGGTTATGTTTGTATGTTCTTGCTGTGCCTGTGTGGGTTTCCTCTGGGTACTTCAGTTTTCTCCCACACTCCAAAGACATGCTGGTAGGTTAATTGGCTCCTGTCTAAATTGGCCCTAGTATGTGTATGTATGAATGTAAGTTAGGGACCTTAGATTGAGGGTTAGGGACTGATGTGAATGCATAATATACAGGTGAAACTCAAAAAATTAGAATATCGTGCAAAAGTTAATTTATTTCAGTAATGCAACTTAAAAGGTGAAACTAATATATGAGATAGACTCATTACATGCAAAGTAAGATAGTTCAAGTCGTGATTTGTCATAATTGTGATGATTATGGCTTACAGCTCATGAAAACCCCAAATCCACAATCTCAGAAAATGAGAATATTGTGAAAAGGTGCAATATTCTAGGCTCAAAGTGTCCCACTCTAATCAGTTAATTAAGTCATAACACCTGCAAAGGGTTCCTGAGCCTTTAAATGGTCTCTCAGTCTGGTTCAGTAGGAACATTAATAGAAAGTTATGTGGAAGGGAAAAGTGTGGAAGAAAAAGGTGCACAAGTAGCAGGGATGACCGCAGCCTGGAGAGTATTGTCAGGAAAAGGTCATTCAAAAGTGTTGGGGACTTTCACAAGGAGTGGACTGAGGCTGGAGTTAGTGCATCAAGAGCCACCACACACAGACTATCCTGGACATTGGCTTCAAATGTCGAATTCCTCTTGTCAAGCCGCTCCTGAACAACAAACAACATCAGAAACATCTTACCTGGGCTAAAGAAAAACAGACCTGGTCTGTTTCTCAGTGGTCCAAAGTCCTCTTTTCTGATGAGAGCAACTTTTGCATCTCATTTGGAAACCAAGGACCCAGAGTATGGAGGAAGAATGGAGAGGCACACACTGCAAGATGCTTGAAGTCCAGTGTGAAGTTTCCTCAGTCTGTGTTGATTTGGGGAGCCATGTCATCTGCTGGTGTTGGTCCACTGTGCTTTATTAAGTCCAGGGTCAACGCAGCCGTCTACCAGGAGATTTTGGAGCACTTCATGCTTCCTTCCGCAGACGAGCTTTATGGGGATGCTGACTTCATTTTCCAGCAGGACGTGGCACCTGCCCACACTGCCAAAAGCACCAAAACCTGGTTCAATGACCGTGGGATTACTGTGCTTGATTGCCAGCAAACTCGCCTGACCTGAACCCTATAGAGAATCTATGGAGCATTGCCAAGAGAAAGATGAGAGACATGAGACCGAACAATGCAGAAGAGCTGAAGGCCGCTATTGAAGCATCCTGGTCTTCCATAACACCTCAGCAGTGCCACAGGCTGATAGCTTCCATGCCACGCCGCATTGAGGCAGTAATTGCTGCAAAAGGGGCCCAAACCAAGTACTGAGTACATATGCATGCCTATACTTTTCAAAGGTCTGATATTGTTCTATGTACAATCTTTGTTTTATTGATTGCATGTAATATTCTAATTTTCTGAGATTGTGGATTTGAGGTCTTCATGAGCTGTAAGCCATAATCATCACAATTATGACAAATCACGGCTTGAACTATCTTGCTTTGCATGTAATGAGTCTATCTCATATATTAGTTTCACCTTTTAAGTTGCATTACTGAAATAAATGAACTTTTGCACAATATTCAAATTTTTCGAGTTTCACCTGTATATATATATGTAAAGCGCTGCGTAAATTGACGGCGATATACAAGTACCTGTAATAAATAATAATGTCATAGTTGCCCCATTCCAACTCCCATGTCATCCTTCTGGCTGATACATATCAAAGGTGACCTTAATGGCCAATAAGAAAGCATGGGGGTGAGAGGAGTTGAATTGCAGAGTGGTGTCCATGGCGATTTTGGTTACTCTTTGGATACTCAGATTCTGGAATTATTCTTCAGATACCTGTAAGTGTCTTGCTAAGTCTGCACTAAGGAGAGCCAAGGATTTTCTGCAAGGGCAAGCAAACTATCTACCTGTTGCCCTATGGTTCATTACCTTATACCCATTTTACTTCAGTGTAACTTAGACCAATCAACGTGGAAGCAGCAGGCTGTAAATTGTTGTTAATAACTATCCAAATTCATACCGCATCATTGGAAGATTTCTGAGTCATATAACATGACTTGTTAATGGTGTTAAATTCAGTTTTACTACAGTAAAATTCCTGTCATTCCAAATTAGAACTCCATATAACTTACTATAACATAGACTTATTACACTTTAACATATTATATAATATTACTACATTTTATTGCAAAGAAAACACTTACTGTTTGTTGGGTTTTCTGGTGGCGTTTTAGCTGTTGAGAAAAAAAAGTGACAGCATTAAAATAAAGCATAAACCTTATTTCCCAGAAGGGGGCAACCTTTGTTCAGTTTTTACTGTGATCTCCTTCTAGGATAAGGAGAAGTACACTTAATACGCCTATTGCTGTTTTTAGCAAATACATGGCAGTTTAGGTGTGGAGCAACAGAGGCAGAAATTATGTCAGGGAGATCTAAGTATATTTCAAGAAATATGAGCAATCAATGTGTGACTCAGCTCACAAGACTCCACCTAAAACTAAAGTATGAATTCTGGATAGAGCAGCCTTTTTATATTCACCCATATAAAATTAAAACTTAATTGTTTGATGATAAATAGAACACATTTTTTCAATCAAATGTTTAATTTTTTTTCAATATCTCTATTTTTTTTCTATTAAATGTTTCCGGTCACAAGACCTGTACTGCACTAAAGTGTAACTTGAGTCAAAAAGGGGAACACAAGCACAAAAAAAAAAAACTCACTGGAGTTCTAACTTTTCCCCTCTATCCAAAACAAAAAAAAAAGTATTAACTTCCACTTTAAATTGGTACAGAAATCAGTTGTATTAATACAGTTTATAACTTCAACTGTCGTCCCTTTTTTTGGCGGTCCATGCATTACCAGTAAGATGAAGACCAAAGTGGTATGTTTTTCTTATATAATTCCAAAAACTGAAAACTTGTTTTATTTTTTTATGAGGAATTTTTTTTTAAACAGCAATTTTTTTTCTATTTACAGAGCTTTGTTGCAAAATATTAAGAATAACCAGTTCCTCATTAATATGCCAAATGAAATCAGCAGCTTTAAGCCTTGCCATTTTCCATTTGAATCATTCATACTTCTTGAAAAAAATTGGAGTTTCCAACTGTACCTGTTTGATGCTGTCAAGCTAAGAAAATACATAGGGTTTTTTTTGGACACTGGAGCATGCTCTATAGGGGTTTCTTAGTTTCCTCCGGGGTTTTTTAGCTGTAAGGATTTTTGACAGAGTCCATCACATAAAAAATACCTGTTGGGGTGGCCTCCTATGTAACACATACTAATAATGGAGCTTTGAAGCTGAAACTATTCAGAGTGTTGTTGATGCCCCGGGACTAACAAGCAGTTTGAATTTCAGAGAAAGTAGCTTTTATACTTCTTACACCAATATTTTTCTTCATGACAGGCTCTACCTAAAGATAACCTGTCACATAATTATATTTCGGGGAATAAAAAGTATTTTAAAAAATAGCATTTTATTCTGTGACTGCACCTTACTTGGAATTTCCTAAATTCCATGCTACCTGATGCTGTCCTAGCATAGGACTCAAAGCTGCAACTCTGTATCCAGGGGCAGACCGACAACTCATGGGGCCCCCGGGCAATAGGGATCATGAGGCCCCTGTGTCCTTGCCCAAACTCAAAAAAGCCTATGAAAAGGGTACCAGGGGCATCTCATGGGGCCCCCTACTGACCCCGGGCCCTTGGGAAGTGCCCGATTTCCAGATGGTCAGTCCGCCCCTGTCTGCATCTATCTTATGACCTCTCTCTGCTCTGTGATGCCAGACACTATAAGATTGCATGTATTGAACTGTATTGTTGCTGTATTGTCTCCCGTTACATTGTAAAGCGCTGAGCAAACTGTTGGTGCTATATAAGTCCTGTATAATAATAATAATAATTAGCACCCTTGTGACATTTACACTCTCAGTATCACCGTGCACAGAGGATTTTCTAGCCCACAAGACAACAATCTAACCACCAGCAGGCTGAGAACGAGCATCAGTGGGACAAGTCAACTAAGCAGTTAGCCCATTAAAAACATGGTAGCCACCACCACGTGTTTTAATGTAAATTTTCCGCACACAAATGTAATTGCTGTGGGAAATCTGACCTTTAAAAATTACTTGTATTACCCACTGCCATGTCCTGATAGGAAATAGAGTTTACACTATGGTAGCTTCTCCAGAATGGCAGAGTTCCAGTTAACACATTTTAATTATTGTAAAAAGAAAAGAAAATATGGTAATAAATATTTACAGAAATTGTATTACAAAAACAGAAATACACAAATACAATTTGGACCACTTGAAGATAAAGTCCAATCTGATGTTACAGGAGTCGTTCACACCATGGTGCAGAGATGTCAGTTTTTCTGCACGTGTTCTCCAAGGGCACAACTAAATCAATTGTTCTCTATGTGCCCTGTTCACACCACAACACTAGTATCATGTGCAGACTTTTTCTGAGCAGGAATCTGCAATGTGTATAAAACTCATTGATGCACACATGAAAACCAGTGTAAACTGCAAGTGAAATTGACACTTTAGTTTCCATCAATTTTTCTGCACGTATGGTATGAATGAAGCCTAAAGGCTAATTCTACTTTTCAGATCCCTTTCACACATGAGCGTTTTTCAGCTCAAAGCTCCGATGCTCAGAAACACTCAACAAGTAAAATCCCATTATTTCCAAAGGCCCCCTTTTCACACATTCTATCGCCTGTTGCTCAAAAAAGTACTTGTGTTATTTTTTAGGCAGATCTGAACGTTTTGTCCCCATAAATTTGAATGGTAAACACCTGAACAGTGGAAATGAGTGTTTTTACAAGCTTTTTTTTAGGCAGTTTAAGCTCAAACAGCAGCTATTTCTATTGGCCACAACAAAAATGCCTAAATGTAAAATTCCTATATTTACAAATCTGCTAAAAAAAAAACGCTCAAAAATACCTGGAAAAAAATGCTTGCAAATATGCCTAAAAAATGCTCAGCTAACTGTGAATGTAGCCACAAGAAAGTTGCAGTCAAGGGGCCTCAGTAGGTAAAAAAATCTGTCCAGCTTTGAAAACTGTTGATACCTGCCATACAGCAGGATAGTGATATGCTAACCATAGGTTTTTTAAGGTGAGGCTTTGAGAGGGGAAACACTGGCCTACAGGGATGGCAATTGCATCAATCAACATTTTTCAAAGATGCACATTTCTTTTATTTACTTACTACAGCTCCTTTACTGCACTGGTATTTTTCTTGAAAAATAGTCTTGAAGTTAGTCTTTAATAGCATAACAAGAGCTCCCAGCTTTACGTCCAACTTTACTTGTCGCCAGAGAAGGTGTTACAGGGCCAACTCCACCCAAAGAAAAGTTACAGAGCCAGCTCCACCCAATGAAAGGGTCTGAGGAGTGTGTTGTAGGTGTGTTGGAGTATTTTATTTTGCCCATCGAACACACCCTTAATACCAATGATCCTGAATTCATTTATTCTTCCATCTGACAAGGTTTCACAATCCAAAAACCAGCATATTATTTTGCAGAATTAAATTAAGATTTGTTAGACACCATATATGACAAGCCTGCAATGTGAATTTCTCCTAAGGTGCGGTATCTGCTTTACCTTTCTGGACCTGTAATAATATTCATGTTTGGTATCTAACTGAATAGTATCTTTTTCCACAACATAGTAGCCACTTTTTAGGAAGGTAACTCCATTACCATAGGAATCAGTGGCGTAGCGTGGGTTGTCAGCGCCCAGGGCAAGACAAGTAATTTGCGCCCCCTAACCCATGGACCAGTTGCATTTGGCAGACTCAATAATTTGGCAGCCTTTACTGTGTGTGTCCTCCAATTTACTGCCTGCTGCACACCTTCCACCATACTTCCAACATGGCTATGTGTGTGTTTGTATGTCCACATCAGAGGGTGAAGTATATGTCGGGATGCTGGCACAGACATATCGGGGATTGGCTGGATCACAAGGAGGCAGCAAAAATCACGGGCCTCTTCAGCACCCTGCGCTGTTCATTCCAAATTCTGTCTATCAATATCTCACTCACAGGATTTGTGTGCCTGATATACTGAGTAACAGGATTGGCACACACTGTGCACCTACTCCCAGCCACAGACTCCTGGAAGGAAGAGTGAGGGACAACACTACCCCCTATGATGGGTAGCACCCCTTCTATACACCCTATGATGGGTAGTGCCCCTCTATATACTCCCTATGATGGGTATTGCCCCCTCTATAGCCCCTATATAAGGTAGTGCCCCCTCTATACCCCTATGATGGGTAGTGCCCCCTCTATACCTCCCTATGATGGGTAGTGCCTTCTCTATACCCCCTATGATGGGTAGTGCCCCCTCTATACCTGCCTATGATAGGTAGTGCCCCCTTTATACCCCCCTATGATGGGTAGTGCCCCCTCTATACCCCTATGATAGGTAGTGCCCCCTCTATACCCTCCATCATAGGGGGTAAGATAGGGGCACTACCCATCATAGGGGCCCTATTTAAGGTAGTGTCCCCTCTTTATCCCCTTATGATGGGTAGTGCCCCCCTATACACCCCCTATTTAAGGTAGTGTCCCTTCTATATCCCCCTATGATGGGTAGTTCCCCCTTCGCTCTATACCACCTCCTGTTGTGTGTTGCCCTCTCATTGAACTGACCTGAGCCGCCTTCCCAGACACAGTGAGCAGCACGTGGTTGAAGTACCTGGTTTGTCCGTCCTTGCTCAGTCCCATTACCCAGCTCAGTACGTCCATGGTTCCACCTGGCAGCTGAGTTTGTCCACCTGCTCCTGCAGCCTCAATTTCTCACACTGCAGGTCGGTGACGGGACAGAAGAGGGGCTCCACCAGGCACAGCACATCCTCTCAGCTTGCAGCCCCTGAACGATCCCCCATAGTGGACATTCCCTCTCATCCTTCAGTACACTCCTGTAGCCTACACCTTCACCCTGGGCTCCATGCTGGCAGGTGATGACAGGTGAAGTGACATCCAGTGGGGATGAGGAGGTGGCAGGAGAGGATTGTGATGGAGCAGTCACCGACACCAGCCTGGGACACTATGAGCGGCTCCTCTGGACTAATTTCTGCGTCCTTCTAAATTTGTGCCTAGGGTGAGGCCCCTCCCCTTCACAGCTGCCCTTCCCCCACGCTATGCCACTGATAGGAGTTATAAAATGACATGCAACTTGACAGTTTGAGATGTATATGGATCAGCTAAATGTCAACACAGGTTTATTATCCCTGTCTCACAGATGTGTATTTCCTTAAATTGCTCTCTAGACCATTTACAACAAGGCCTCCTCAGAGGTCCTTTGAAGACTAGTTGATATTTCTACATTCATCTGTATTCAGCTGTATTGGGTTTTGTAAAATGTGTCACCTTCCACAAATGCCTAGCACCGACAGTAGTTTTTGATCTGCCTGTCATGTTGCTGACTTGGGCAAAATGGAGGGTGGTATTGTGTGTTTAGCACCATTTCTCCATTCTCTCCACACAGCGTGAGATTCATCAGATCTCACTATTGTCTTATTGCTAGCTCCTAATTGGGTCAGAGAAGCAAGAAAAGGAGCTTCCTCAAGATAACAATATCTGCCACTAGGGACAATGGCAGGCCATATAAGAGATGCAAGGCCACCACTCTGGGAACAGAGTTGGGATAAAGGCTCTGACCAGTGGAGAATCAGGTGATTTTAGCTGAAGACAACTGAATCCTCAGCTAATGCTCAGTTACGTTAATATTGCAAAATAGAAATAAATGCTATTACACCTCTTTCATATGAATACAGTCCTATATGTGTACGAAATACTTCTGTTAACTACCTTTATGTGTGAACACTCCGTTAAGTCACTGTAGATAGTTAAATTGTATTATGTTCTGAATTTCTATGTGTTATTTGAACCTGATTGTAAAACGATTGTTCTGTCTAACTTAAATTTAACCCCTTTACAACCGCATAACTTATATGGTGGAGTCCAGGAGGTGGGCTTTAATCTTGGCAGTCATATATATGTGTTCGTCTATTTGTGCTGGAAACCTGCTGTTCTATTGAAAAAAAAAAATATTAACTAGTTTGGGACTTGTTCTAGTTTAGTCAGTGTTAGTGTAGGTGTACAGTATCATAAAAACTGATGGGAAAAAACATGCATATTTAACTTGCAGAGACTCGAGTTTACATCAATTTTCATGCGAGCTTGTGAGTTTTATACACGTTGCAGATTTCTGCACAGAAAAAATCTGCATGTGATACTAGTGTTGTGGCGTGAACAGGGCACATAGAGAACACTTGTTTTCTCTGTGCCCTTGCAGAAAAATTCACATCCCTGCACATGGTATGAAAGAGGTCTTAGTGTTAGTGATTTTTCACTCTCCAGTTTTAGTAAATCAACCCCATTATGTTTTTTGGTAAGAAACAAAAGGTTTTATATTTAGTGTCAGTGCATATAGGTAAAAAAAAAATAAACAAAAAAACAAAATGTTTACTATTTTTTTCGTGATGGGTCATGGTTAGAGATGAGCGAATCGAACATGACGAAGTGGAATTCGTTTTCG